TTCTGTCCCCTCATAGGGCTTTCCGTCTAGTTAGTGTGTCTGAAAGATGTAATAATAATGATGCTGATGAGAGCTAATATTTATTGGCTCAGCATTGGGCCCTATTCTAAGCCCTTCATCTGTATCATTTTATTTAGTCTCTGTATTAGTTATCTGTTGTTGCATAACAGATTATCTCAAAACTTAGTGGCTAAGAATAGCATTTATTATCTCACAGTTTTTGTGAGTCAGGAATCCAGATACAGCTTAGCTGGGTCCTCTGGCTCAGGGTCTCTGCTAAAACTCTAACTAAGATATTGGCTGGGGCTGGATTCTTCTCAAGGCTCCCCTGGAGAATCTGGCCCACTCACTTGGTTGCTGGCAGGATTCAGTTCTCATTGGCTGAGGCCACATATTCAACTCCTCGCCAGTAGGCCTCTCCATAGGGCATTCACAACATGGAAGCTTGCTTCATCAGTGCAAGTGAGAGAGAAGATCCAGGGAGAGAGCGAGTGTAGGCAAGACCAACCTAATCTTGGAAGTGACATCCCATTACTTTTGCTGTATTCTATTTATTAGAAACAAGTAACTGAGTCCAGCACGTACTCAGTGGGAGCATATTACCTAAGGACAAGCATACCAGAAGGTGGGACCATGGGGGACCATTTAGAAGCAGTACACCATAATCTCTATGACAAGTCTCAGGTAAATAGTGTTATCCTCGCTTCCTGGTGGGATAACTGAACCGTACGAGGTTAGACAACTTGCTCATGGTCACAGAACACATACAGATTTGAACCCAGGCAGTCTGGCTCCAGGACAATGACCTTACATACATGGTGGGAGGATGATTTGAGAAAAATAACCCTGACTGCAGTGTGGAGGATGGTTTGGAACAGGGAAAGCCAGAGGCAAGAAGGGCAGCCAGGAAGACTTTTTTCCTGGTCTAGGTAGAGATGAGAAGGACTGAACCAAGGCTCTGACGTGGGGAGGAGAGGGCAGATTGGAAAGGCATTCAGGAGGTAGAAGGTATGGGAATCTGAGTGGGAGGCACCATGCTGACCCCTAGGATTCTGATGTGGGTGATGCTGAGGATGCTGATGCCATTATTTAAGGCAAGAGTAAACAGAGGACAGGCAGATTTGGAGGCAGGGCTCTGGAAGGACATGTTGACTATGGTTTTATATATAGTGAGTATGGGGTACCACTGTGCTCATTCTCCTCACCTTCCTTCTCACACTACCGTCTTGTACTTTCTGTAGAGTTGGACCAGTGTGTGCTGCTCTGGTCATGGCGAAGGTCACAGCTTTTATGGATGAGAAAAATCTCCCCTGAAGGGAGGAGACATTCATCAGATCACCCTCCTTGGAAGAAGCAAGTGCTGGGATAGGTCTTAGAAAGTTAGGCAACAGGGGAAGGGGGCTCCTTCATCTCCCTGAGGACCTGCTGTAGGTGATTTTAAGGTCTTGCTGGGTGAGGGGAGGAGACGTTTGCTCTAGGTGAGTGGCCAGGGTAGACAGAGACCCTATGAGGGCCATTCATGTTCTGTGGGCTTCAGGAGTAACCATACTCAATGGCCAGTTGCAAGTTATGCCCGGTAAATAACAAATTCCCTTCTGTTCTTTTGGAACCTTCAGTAAAATCTTGCTAAATGTTCCAGCCTGGCTTTATTTAGCTCTGCTGTGGAGATTTAAGGGAAGACTATCATCCATGCCTGGGCAATAAGTTCACTTATTGATTTTTGAGAAAGAGACAGAGAGAAAGAGAGCATGAGCATGAGTGGGAGAGGAGCAGAGAGAGAAAATCCCAAGAAGGCTCTGCCCTGTCAGCATGGATGGAGCTCGATGTGGGGCTCAAACTCATGAACCATGAGATCATGATCTGAGCTGAAATCAAGAGTTAGATGCTTAATCGCCTGAGCCACCCAGGTACCCCACTTTTTTTTTTTCAAGTTTATTTATTTTTGATAGAATGAGCATGACTGGGGAAGGGGCAGAGAGAGAGGGAGGGTTGAGAAGCAGCACTTCTGAGGGGCTTCCATCATGGTGGTTTCATCCGGAATCAGAACAGGTATCCTTGGGATAAAAATATTCTGGGATAAGATTCGTGGTTGTGATGGTCATCTGTCCTTCTCTACATGGATCAGTTTCCTCACTGCTAGCCACAAGTCAGGACGCCTATGTGGCACTGATGGCACATAGTTGGATGGGTTTATGGCTCAGCTGAGCATAGAGGGAGCCATCAGAGAATAGGTGGCAGCAGAAGTGTTGGAGAAGGGATAAGATGCCCTGGGAAGAGTATGTAGAGGGAGAGGAGACTGTAAACTAGATCAGAAGCTCCACGATGAGCCTAGAGGCCATGCCTGCTCCATCACCGCTGAGTCTCTAATGCCCAATACGGTGCTTGGCACATACTAGAACCTCAATAAGCTGCAGAATGAATTAATTAATTAAAGAAGAGAAAGAGATTTTGGGAGCACGCACTTCTAAGAGACCCAAAGAAGTGGCAGAGGCTTGCAACAGCTGCTGTGGAGAATAAGGGGAAGCATTGTTAAAGAATGGCTGGGCTACATGGAGGGTCCAGCAGTCCTTAGGTGCTGGGAAAGAAAAAAGCAGGGAAATTGCTCTGTTTTGACATGAGATACATGTAACGCAGCAGTGACAGGTAACCAAATATTTTCATCTTGGGGGCTGAGTCGAGGGCAGTTAAGAGAGTGTTCCTAGACGGCAGGGCCTTGGGCCCTGACAGAACCAACTGAGAGAAGGTGCCTGGCCCAACAAGCTCCCTGGGGAAATACTCCCAGTGATCCTGGGATGAGCAAGCAGTAGAGAAGCACATTTCCAGGGCTCTAGGCCACCCTCCCCAGGGCCACCAGAGTGGCGGGGTGGGCACAATTACTGTCACTTTGGGCTGAGGAAGCTGGGTGGTTTTGGACTCTGGGTTGGGAGCTTGGCATGACTGGTCCATGTTTTCTATTTGAGAAGTCGTGATCTGAAAGCACAATTCTAAGGGCTATGGAACCAGGCCTTGGGCTTTTATGACTCTCTGACCTCTGTCCCCTGGCTGTCATTTGGAGCTATTTTCCGTTTCTCTTGAATCCTGAGAGGGGAAGAAACAAATGTTACTAGGAGCAAGTTTCTCATCACTTTGTTAATGATTGATTTCATTTCATTCCAGAACTTGTTTGACCTTTGGATAAACAATTGAAACCTTCTGGAGACACCTAAAAGGAATGTAGGAATGCATTTGCTATTTAATGGTAGAAAGATTATAAATGGGACTCTGACAGAATAAAAAGTATTATTTATAGGAGTGCTAACAAAAAGTCACTTGTAACATACACATTCTTCAGCAATGGCCAAATAAGGGAAAGTGTGATATCTGGTCACATAACCAAGCTGACTCTGTAAATGAGAGTCTCCGTCTCCCCATCCCCCTTTCTCAAGCCTGAGCAAAAATTTCTTCTAAGGAAGTCTAGAATTGTGGGACAAATGGAGATCCTGACCACACACACAAGATAACACTGACAGAAATTAGCCAGCCTGGATTTTCAGAAGGTGTGTTAAGCTGTGCCAGAGGAGAACTGTTCAAAGTTTTTACTTCCTGGGTAATGGTAGAAATCATAGACGGTATAGTTGGTTACCTGCCAAACTGGAAAGAACAAACAAAGATGAACTGCAAGGAAGGCATGAACAACTCAAAGGGGAAAGGGGCACTAATTGGGTTTAGAAAGGCACGCGTTGTCCAGCAGGCTGAGGTGATCCAGCCTCCTTCCCTGACATGGTGACAAACTAGAAAGCAGCCTCACCAGTTAGTCCAGAAAATTCAGAAGGCTCAGCACCATTGTAAAGTGGGATGCAGAGGAGGCCCTGGAAATGGCTTCAGCCAGGGCCACGGACCCACCTGGGCATGTGTAACCCTCTCTTCCTCAGCTGGATGTTGGAAGAGATTGAAGCTCATGGAGCTGGCCCAGGACCTCAACAAAGATGGCAGGAGGAGAGCCCCCCTCTGTCCCACTCTGTTGTTATCTCCCCCAGCAGGACAGGGAGTATGTTTAGTGGGAAAATCTAGGATTATAGGCAGAAGCCCCAGCTCTGTCTACACTCTGCATGCATTTTTGGGCCAATTACTTTTACTCTCCATCGCCTCAGATTTTCTATTTGTAGAGTGGAAATAATTTTGGAGATTAAATAAGATCAACCCAAGCATTCGGCACAGAGCCCAGCTCATCCTAAGTCCTCAACAAATCTTGGTTACCTTCCCTCTAGGGTGTTCATCTTAGCACCTGAAGCACAAAGTAGAAGCGGAATAAATTTTGCTGGATAAATGAGTGTATAATAACTCTTTTGTTTGTCAAGGACTTTTTCAACTGTAAGCTCCTCAATTATCACATCATACTCATTTTTGCAACCCCAGCGTCTAGGGTAGGGTCTGGTACATATAGGCGCTTGGTAACCACTAAGTTATTGAATAATAGCTTGAGTTCAGAGGGTCCTTGATAAATTGGGGATTCTCAGGATTGCATAGGATCAATTGCCACTCAGGAAGGAAGTACCCACCAGTTGGGTCCCAGAGGATGTGGTAGCAGGAGCTGAATCCCCTGAGCGCTGAGGGGAAGGGGGTCTGGGGACCAGCAGGCTTTCTCCCTTGGAGCATGGTGCTCTCAGCAGGGGCTGGATGGGCAGTGTACAAGTTTGTTGACCCATCGACACAGAGTGAGGAGCAGGGTGGCTGGGGCAGAGAGCCAGGGAGAGCCTGCCTAGTTTACCTCGCTGACATGGCCACAGATGGAAGGAGAGTTGGTAACTTTTACAGGTGAACAAGTGCCAGGAAAAACACTGACGACTCCTAAGTGATCAAGAAATGTGCTTGAAAGATCTAGCCATTAGTACTGTGTGTGCAAGACCCAGGACTCAGCTGCTGCATTTGTAACCTGAGAAAGCAAGTCCCTGCCTTTTTTATGAGCTCAGCAAAACCAGCAGACCCCACCATGGAAAGGGAAAACAAAGAAATGAGGACATTTGATCAGTTGCCCACAGTGCCTCTGAGAGCACGAGCCCAGAGCTCTGTTTCTGCAGGAATGTACCAAACGCACTACCAGTGAGCTGGTAATCGCTTTAAGTCTGGGCAAACTGGTTCTCCTGGCACAAGGTGGGAACTGAGCTTAATTAGACTGCAGGATTTGACTGGAGGAAAGGCCTTTGTTCCAGGTTGGCTCCAGTTTTTGTTTTGTTTTGTTTTTACTTTCTTGTTAAATAAGAACAAAAATTGTATTGTCGGGGCAGGAGCACAGGGCAGGGGTTTGGTATGGAAATTCTCATTCAGAGGTAAACTCCCCACATTTCAGATTTTTCAGAAAGCCGACCCTGAACTCGAGTTTCTGGTAATGCCTGACCTTCACGGGATCTGGGGCGGTATCCTGGGGAGGGCTGGCCGCTGTATGGAGACTTGGCTGGCTCACTTTGGCAGGTTTTCTCCAAGTGACTTGGAAATGGATGCCTGAATCGACTCTACGGTGCCCAATTCCAAATTCTGAGGAGTCTGGGCCACACTTGGGGGTCTGTGGCCTGGCGGCCTCCACGTCTGGGGAGATTGTGCTGTGGTGGTCAGTGGTGGAAAATGAAGTCAGGCATGGTCACTTGGCTTATCTTGTTTGGAGGCAGAAAGTCTGATTTCAGGGTTTGGGCTGGAAGCAGGGAGCTGGGATGGATTCCTGAGGGGGCTTTGGAATCATCTTCTTCAAACCACACGAAGATTTGTCAGGCCCCTCCTTGGCAATGGGCCAGGGGTTAAAACATCATTTGAGTTCAAGGAAATCTGAATTTGCCTCCTGGAGGGAGTGGACCAGTCTAGCAGATCCTGGTAGTCCAGGAATTGGAGAGCTAGAGGTTCAACTGGTCAGAGCCACCAGGAATGGGGTCCAGGCCCTAAGGAAAAGCTTTCTGGGCTCCCTCTTGGACAGACATTCTAAGATCTATGACTGGGATTTGATCTAGCTCCCATCTGGGCCTCTGGGCCTGGTAATTAGTATGGTTCCCCTATCATCAGCAGCCCTGCAATGCCTGTGTGCGGCTGGGGTGGGGTGCTAGGGCTAGAACAGGGTGATGAGGTAGGTTTGGGGTGAGCACAGGAGGATGGGCTCAGGGCTCGGAGACAAGGGCATCTGAGAGCTCTTCCTAAGGAATGGCCAGGGACTTCTCTCTTCTGGGGACACCTCCTGTCTTTCCTTATACACAATCACTGTGCCTTTAAGAGATAAAGCCCATCTTGATCCAGCTCATCCTAGGTGTGCTGCTTGGGGCCCAGATCTGGTGGGAGGAGGAAGACGTGAAGGCATACCCTCTTTCACTTGCTGCCTAAAATGAAGCTCTTGTGACCTCCCCCCCCCAACCCCCCTTGTCTGTCACCTTACCCAGCTCTCACCAACCGTTCACAGCAAGGCTAGCTGGAAAGCATCAGGACCATGCTTGGGAAATCACCCAATGGCTGCCGGGTCCATTCCACACTTACTGTGTGTCAGGCCTGTGTGAGCAGGTTGCAGCGGGGGTGGTGGTGAACAGGAGAGCACCCGAGATAAACTCCCCATCCCTGGGAACTCTCTGCGGTAATTCTCCTTTCAACATCTGGGTATTTCACTAAGCAGAAGAGGGGGCAGGGCTGTCACAACTAGAATCCTCCAGTATTTTCTTCCTGAGAATAAACATGGTGTTTGAAAGGCAAGAGTCTTCCCATTTCTTATGAGTAGTGGCTGCTTCTCTGGGCCTTTGGGGCTTAGCTCGCTGTTGTATTTACTGCAGGCCTTGGAGTAAATATCACTTCCAGTGGGAGGCCTTCTCTTGACCTCGCACAACCGAGTGGATAGCCCTTCTGTGTGTTCTCTGGCACCTTACCTTACCCTTATCTCAACGCTTATCCACTGTATTTCTTTAAAAAAATTTTTTTAAATGTTTTCTCATTTTTTGAGACAGAGATGGAGACAGAGTGTGAGTGGGGGAGGGGCAGAGAGAGAGGGGGAGACACAGAATCCTTAGCAGGCTCCAGGCTCTGAGCTGTCAGCACAGAGCCTGACGTGGGGCTCCAACTCACAAACTGCGAGATAGTGACCTGAGCCGAAGTCGGACACCCAACCGACCAAGACACCCAGGCGCCCCTTATCCACTGTGTTTCAAAAACCACCCACGAGCCCGTGCATTCCTGAGGGCTGAGACTGTGTCAGCGTGCTGGCTGGGACACAAAAGGTGTTCAGTGTGCTTCTGGTGAGTGGCTAAGTTAATGGTCAAGTCTGTGTGGTGCCTCGAGGGCAGAACCAACAGAAGTTCAAGAGGCAGATTTTGGCTCAAAAGAAGAAAGAATACTGTAGCAATGAGAACAGTCCGAAAGGTCATGAGTCAAAGGTCATGAGCTCTCTGTCACTGAACATGATCATGTCACAGCAGGATAACTCTGGTCCAAAACGTTATAGGATGTTTCAAGTATCAGGTGGATGGAGCTCTTGAGAGGCAAGACCAGCTGAGGATGTTCCCAAGTGCGGGGTAGGAAGAGGACAAGGGAAGGGGGCCTGGAGTTGGCTACGGATGCTCCTTGGAGAGGTCCCCATGAAGAGACAAGGCTGAGTTTTGTTCCCACGGAATCTTCAAAGCAGAGCTCAAAGGTCATCTGCCTTTCCTGACTTCCTCACTCTCCTTCTTCTGCTCAAAACACATTATTCCTGCCTTTATTACCATCCTCATCTCTCTTTAGTGGAGTCTTTAATTAATTACACGGCTCTCATCTAAAATGTGATCGCTTGGAGTCCAAGGACCCATCTTTAATTATTCGTACCCCCAGGCATCTAGACCTGGGCCTGGCACAAGCACTGAGCAAACTTTCGTGGAACGACAGACTAAATGAGGGCCTTTGTGTAAGACCAAGAGCTCATGGTCCTGCCTTGGAGGGAAAATAGCATATGTGAAGAAATTCAAGGAATAATTTCGTAACTAACTGTGTGACTCTGAGGGACAGTTGTTTCATGAAGGAGCTACTGCAGAGTCTGCTGGCCTGCAAGCCATCTCTGATAGGTTTGGCGGAAGGACTGAAACAAGATGTTTCTTCCTCTGCTCGAATGTAAGTGCCATGAAGGCACAGCCTTTGATCACTGCAGGTGCCTGGCACCAGCTTGGTGGTCCATAAATATCTACAGAATGGAAGCATTTTAGTTGCTGTTATTTGTTTTCTTAAAGCAGATGGAAATGGTGTTGATGATTCATTTGTCCTCAAACTGTGAATGTGAAGTCCAATGGGAAGGATTTGCCCAGAATCAGAAAATCCCCACAGCCAGAGCTGGCTTCATGGGCGCATGATGCTGTCACCATCTTGAAATTCTCCATTTTTTAACAAGGAGCCCATGCTTTCATTTTATGCTGGGCCCACAAGTTATGTAGCTGATTCTGCCCACACAAGAGGACACTGTCAATCCATAGCAGAAGCTGTGGGAGCTTCTGCCATGGGACTAGCAGAAGCAAGGAAGAATCTTTGGCTCTGGAAACCCTCCTGACATAGTGACTTGCCTCGTGGCCTCTGGGCTGCTCACTAGGGCTCACGGGCTCCTGCCTGATCTGAATCTGCAGCTGTTTCTTCTGCTTAGCTCCATCTGACCTGAAGTGACTTCAGGGAGTGGCAGGGCAGCCACAGTCAATGACCTCACACCTTTTGTCACTGCCAGCATGCCGTCACTGGTGTGGGGAGGGCTCTCTCCCTACCAGCTGGACACTTGTCTGGCACATTTTGTAAACAGTGGTCTCAGCAGCATGGTTCTCACATGAACCTTCTCCACTGCAACCCTTTCAAGGAATTTAGAGCATTTTGCTGGCTTGGTTGGAAAACATCAAGTGGTACCCCTAGGGTACCTTTTGCTGATGCCAATCATTTTCTAATTCTTTAGGGCTGAATTCAAGGAATCTTCTAGCTAAGAATGAGCTTACAGAAAATGGGAGCACCTACTCAGGGTGGGGGTGATTTTTCTCTCCCTCTGGTTCAAGGACTTTGATCTTGGTGGGTTGGGGCACCTCCTGCCCCGCCTGGGGCCCAAAGCCCTGTTCATTTCTCTTAGGGAGACCACCAAGTTTTCATGCCTATAGGGTAGTGGGTGGCAGAGTTGTAAGGGAGAGCACCTTTCTGTCCCAGGGGTCTGGACCCCTGTGTGTCTGACAGTATGGACCAGTCACCGGTAGAGTCACATTCAATCCTGAGAAAAGCCACCTTCCTCTGCCCCAGGACACAAGATAGGTAGGATGGCTGGGCTTTGGAAAAGGGACTCCCAAAGCCATACCCATGCTGCCCAGCTCCTATTGCTGTTTCTTGCTACTCTGGGATGGAGCCCAGTGGGGCTCATAATCTCACAGAAAGCAGAGCTTCTGCGAGTTTTCGGATTTATTCAGGTGTTAGTGAGCATTCATGAATGTGTCCCTGGCATTGTTCTTCCCTGAACTCTTCCGGCTCAGACAGATCTCACTAACAGATAGGTGCACATCAGGCTTTTGAAGGTAGCCCAGAGTAGTTCTTAACCTTTGCTACCACTTTTTGGAAAACAAAAAATGAGAATTCAAGTTGATGAATAGAAACAGAAGGTGGGGGTGCCTGAGCGGCTCAGTCTGTTGAGCAACCGACTTCAGCTCAGGTCATGATCTCACAGTTTGTGAGTTTGAGCCCTGCATTGGGCTCTCTGCTGTCAGTGCAGAGCCTGCTTTGGATCCCCCCGCCCCTCTTCCGCATGCTTTCTCTCTCAAAAATGAATAAATATTTTTAAAAATTAAAAAAAGAAAAAGATCTAAAAAAATTGTTTAAAAAAAAAGATTCTTACAACATCAAAATTGATGTTATTGTTAGATAACATCAAAATTGATGTTATTATTTTTTCTACAAAATAGTATTTTTTAATGTTTATTTATTTTTGAGGACGGGGAGGGGCAAAGAGAAAGGGAGACAGAGGATCCAAAGTGGGCTGTGCACTGATGCAGGGCTCGAACCCACAAACTGAGATCATGACCTGAGTTAAAGTTGGACACTCAAACGACCGAGCCACTCTGGTGTCCCAATAGTGTTGTTTTTAATTTCTATACACTACTGGATGTGGGAGGGAGGCCAGAGGTCATTCAACCCAACCCCATCATTTT